TTGCAATACAGGATGGTACCTGGTGCTGAGGGACATGAGTTAGTGGTGGACTTGGCAGGATTAGGTTTATGGTTGGATTCCATGATCTTAAAGGTCTTTTCCAACCTAAGTGATTCTATGATTCTGTTAGTCTATGCTCATGGTAGTGTTTCTTCTGTTCTTGTTTACTGACAGATGAACACTATGTATCTACTACAAGCTTAATTGTCTTTAGCTCGAGGAAGATACTAGATTTTGTCTTCAAAAATGTCTGCAATGTATTGCAACATCCCACCAGTTCTAACTACTAATGCCTTGAATCCACCAGAGCTTTTATTCCTCATCCAACCCCATGTCTTTCCTGGTTTTGCTGGCCTTTCTGTTAAACTGTGTATTTGTGCACCATAAAGGCTCCACATGCTGAAATATCAATGAGCAGTCTCCAAATGCTTCTCTAAGCATTGCAGACCATCTTCAACTATGAACTCACATCTCCTGAAAGTCAAATGTAATTTACAGTAAGAAAAAACTACTTGGTGTGCTTTACAACAAGGTAGAAGTGTTAGTTTTAGAGCAGTTATAATCTACCCAGTTTAATAGAAATAAATCTGTGTCAATTGCAGCTAAAGCTGCAAGGGAAAATGATTGTTGTCTGAACATATGCATGAGTGAGGCAAAAACTGTTCAAGCTAAGGAACACTGTTGTCAGAAAAAACACGTGTACACAGGCCATGAATACAGCTAGGCTGAAAGTGAAAAGAGGATTTCTTACCACCAGAACTCTGGTTACACTAATTAGTGTAGAAGTATGGGAGAGAAATGTAGAAAAAAATGAAGTAACTGAGTAGATGGAACTGTACCAATTTATGAGAGCAAGTTCCCTTAGATCCTATGTCCAGCTGCAAAATTTGTATGTAATCTCTCCACCTGATATTTCAGACTCCACATCATGCCATCACCCAAATTGCTGTAACACTTGTGAGCCATTGACTGCTCTAATCTAATGTAAGATCTTAACTCTAAACTATATTAAAGTGACTTTGCCTATATTTTTAAAAGAATACCTACAAGTTACAGATGGTATTAAACATCAATTTCTTTTGCCATTTATACCTTTCAGGAAAATCTACCTGTCAAAATCCACAGGGCAGGAAGCAGTGCAGTTCCGAAACAGCTCTCCCTCTCCCGCATGGGAAGGCTGTGTCAGTGGGCAAGAACAGGGCTGGGACACAGCAGGCTGTGAATTTTAACCAGGGCCTTCCAGATGACTCAGGAGTTGGCCTTGACAGTCACTTAGCAGAGTATCAGATTTCCTATCTATAAAGCTGATCATAGGATTACACACAGCACAATAAGAATGATACCTGCCAGGCACATCATTTAATGTTTTACAGTGATTTATTTGAAGACCGGTGCTTTAGCAGAGCTGAATCAATAGATTTCTCTGGTGCTTTAAAACAAACCTGTCCTGAACATCATTAAGAAACAGGCCTTCTTTCCCTTCCGCATGTTTTTCCACTTGAAAAGAAATACATGTCTTTCTTTATGTCTTTATGAATAGTTATAAAACCCACAATGTTATTTCAGTTGCTGGTGCTACTGTTTTCCTACCTGTTGCGACTGTGCTACACAAAACACTACAGCTACAATGACAAGTTGCACCTAGGAGTTAGGGACTCCCTAAAACCTGAGCATGACTGACCAGCCATCAAGGCATAAGAGAGCAAACCGCTCTCCCAACATCCTCTAACACATTACCAGGGCCAGGTGCATGGGTGACAGGGCTGGGGCAGTGGGAACTGCGGGGGCGGCAGCACTGGCGTGACAAGGGCGATAGCCACAGCCCAGCACTGCCGGTGGGTAAGGCAAAGCAAAGTACAAACCAGCTCCTTGCCTTTGGGGTTTGTGTAGGTGTGGCTGTCCAGGCTGAATGACTGAAAACTGGGAGAGAACGCCAGGCAAAGCCTTTTTCCTCTCCCTTCTCACCAGTGCATCTTCTGTCCCAGGTCAGGAGGAAGTGAATGTGGAGCAGCAGTTCTCAGTTCATATTGCTGGAGTGAATTTGAGGGTGGATGAATTAGAATAGCACTTGGATACTACAAAGTTGTCAGATCTATACATTTGATTTGTTAGCACTTTTCTCTGCATTTTGTTCTCCAGAATTGTCCCTTTTTGGTGATTTTTCAGCTGCTTCCCTGGTCCTTACCCTCACAAAGAAACGCTTTTCGAACAACTCTAGAATAGCTTCAGTACTGGCTGCCTGACACAGACAGCAGTATTAACCTTATGAGTGGCATGAATATCATCTGAAAAGCATGCTAACAGAGACAAAATAATGATAGCTTAATGTCACCATCATTTAGTCCAGTCAGATATTGTACCCTGTTCCTACAAGCAGCTGCTTTCCACAAGCTGCAGCGGAAGGGGAGCGATACTGTCTGTCCAGCTTACAGAGACCCTTTGGGTGCATGATACACATGCAAGAAGGAATTAGGAGTGCATTACCCAGCCATACTAACAATCATGCTAAAGTATGGACTGAAGCGTTGAAAACACTTTGCATGTTAAACTTGGTGTTACGGAGAAGGGAAAACTATACTGCCGCTGCACAGTGTGGTGTGGGGCACGCTCAGTCGAACAGGCAGCAGAGCATCCTCCTGAATGCTGCGCCGTGATGCTCATTGAATCTGGCACGTGCTGAGGAGCACCCGGACCATGCTCCTTGCACCAACACCGTGCCTGTACGACTCTCCAGCAGAGAGGCCCATTGTGCGTGCAGCTTCTGAATCCTGGGGCTGTACACCCAGAACAGGCTTTCATTGTACTGTAGGATCCCATTATTCTGTTCCCCCAGATTCGTCAGCCATTCAGTCTTGTTGGCTGTTGTTGTTTGTTTTGGTATTACAGAGAACAAAGGTGAGTTTTATTCTCACAAGAATGGAAGTGAGGGTGTAGCAATCAGAAGAGAAGAAAGAAGCTAGAGCTGATTCATTTTCAAGCATGTTGTGCGAAAAGATATCTTTTGTACAATTCCATCAAAAGAGAAGTACGTACACCCTTATCATAATAAAAAAAAAAAAAATGAACGCAATTCATTTTGGATAAAGACAGTGATCAGTGTGTCTGTTTTCTAATTTTGTTCTTTTCCCTTTCCTTTTTGACAAAATTTCTGAGAAATTTGAAGACCATTAAATAAAATCTCCCCCTAGAAAATATTAGTTACTTACATCCATCTATTTCCGTCTTATTTGAAAGGTGTAGAGAGGCATGTGTGTGTGTCAGAGCATACAGTAGGACACATTTACAAGCAACGTTTGTGGTAATGATGTAGCAATGAAAGCATTACCTTGTGCTGTAGAAACTGAGAGAAATTATTGCATTGTTATTGCACCTTACTCATTGCTGTTCTAAATATAATTTTCCGTTCTAGTGAGATGGCTGCACTACAGCAGCTACCATTAGCAGTAAGTTGTATCCTAGCTGCTAACTGCATTGGAAAAGCTATGGACCTGAATGGTCTTTAGTCTGTCACAAAAGTACATTGGATTAGAGGTTTCTCCTTGAGATATACCCCTTTGTCTTTTGATAGAGGTCTCCTTTATCCAGGCCTCTAGCTCTTCTATCAGAGCTAGTAGATTGTAGCATGAAACTTTTGAAGAATACCAACAGACAGACTTCCAGGCTATATCTATACTTGTAAATAAAACAGGTTGTTCTCTGGCCAGGTGGGTACATGGCAGAGTATGGCCCACAGCCATATGGCTAAATTCTCTTTATCCCACAAGCAGAATGATCTTATGCCTGGCATCTTTCAGGAATTGTCTCTAACCTGTGCCATTCCCGAAGGCAAGGAGGCTAATCAGCCATTTAGCCTGTTCTGCTCTTCAACAGGATAGTGGCATTTTCAGAAGGGCTTAAAAGCATACTGCCATGCCCTGGGGTGTCATAACCCTTAATTTAGTGGAGAGCAGAGTGTCATGCCCTGGGGTGCCAAAACCCGTAATGAACTGCGGTGGTTCCAGTGCCTGGCAGCCCCGCAAAGCAAGTAGCCTGATCCACATGTAGCCCTTTGAATGGAAATGCCAAAGCACTTGCAGTACCCACTTAGACCCCCCCGAGTCCATGATGTGCATGTAGTTCTAATTGATTTAGAAGCCCAGGACCTGTTTTTCAGTATTATTTTAGAATTTAGGCATTTAAAAGATCTGATTCATTATATGACAGGGGTTGAAAACGTTGCTGCCCCTCTGGTCTCAGATACTTCTACCCTTGTCTGAGAAACAGCAGAATAGAGGGTGCACCAGCATTTCAGCCCTTGTGATTCACAGCTTGTCAGATTAGTAGGAACAAGCATGGTTTTCTGTTTACATTGATATGTCAGGCTGTAAACTGCTGCTGCGGCTGTGGACTTTGAGTTATTATCCCTGACAGATTTAGCTCAAGGAAACCACAGGTACTATTTTGCCAAAATCAAAAACCCACCAGCTTTATCACACTATATATCTCCAGTTATCTTGTTTGCATGAATGCATCAATGCAAGAAAGGTTTGCAGGACCAGTTTTTATTCAGCTGATTGGGATTGTAAACTCCTCCTACTTACAACCTGCAGAGACGGGGCTTGGTTCTGTATGCAACTGATAAGGCGTTTATATTGGCTTATTGTTAAAGTGGTACAAGCAAATAATATTTGATCTGGCATGAAGATGGCTAATATGAAGTTATTACCTTTAAATTATTTGACTAAACCTGAAAATAAATGTATATAGGATATATAAAAGTTATATATGGCGAACCAAACTTATATAGGATTGGCACCATGTGTCATGTGGTGACAGCTATTTGTGGATCCATTCTAGAAGCACTAGTGATAGATACAGTGCATCAGCAAAGCCCAGTGAGAACTTCACAGTTTAGATGGTGTGAACAAAGAGCAAGCAAGAACCTAGCCCAAACTGCTGTCATTCAGAGAGACTAATGCAAAATTGTTTCCCATGTATCTGTTGTGCCTCTGTTTTCCTAGTCAACTCATAAACTTCATCATCATGGCTTTGATGCAGACCAAGATGCCAAGAAAATACATAGAGCCTGCAAAGGAGCAGGTAAGAAGGCTCTTGTTTTTTCATACAAAGGGCAATTCAGTATTATAAAAATCATATACATAAATTGGGGCAAAACAACTGCTCCAACCAGATTCAGGTAATCTTTATGCTGTCACTTACTGACTCAAAGAACATGCACACCCATGAAGTTATATATCATTTAGATAAATGGGAAGGCAAGCCATCTTGTTCCTCAAAAGACTGGTATGATCTAGTTTGTTAATGGCTTGGCTCTAGGGGATTGGTTTAAACATGATATTTGCTCCCTGCGATAGGAATATCAAGCTGTCAAGACTGATACGACAGTCATGGGGTCCCAGCTAGTCAGGTCAGATTAAGGTCATGGTTATATGTCCTTTCCCAGGCGTTCAAGGACCAGTAAAAAACATCACCACCTCCACATGTTCATCAGAGCCCACTGCAGCTCCATCAGCTGAAAGGACTTTACAGTGCTCTCAGTGTGCATCAGTGATTTTTAACCAAAAATACTGGCTCCCACCATCTTCTGAGGTAGTTTGAAGTAAGCTGTCTGACCGTGTACTGACATGAATGAGGAATGCACAGTATTCATGGCATCCTCAGGTCCGTGGAGGTGACAGTGGCCAGCAGGGGAAGAAAGCCAGGCAGCATGCAAGAGCAACAAGTTATTCATTCATTCCAGGCATTTGCACAGTAAACATGTATTGAAGCATTTCTTCCTGGTATAGCACTGACATTCAGAATCAGCTAGTTAAGTGCTGAATTTTAGGAACTCTTGTCCTATCAACTGAGCGCCTTCAAGACGGTTCCCCAGAAGACACTCGTACTGAGAGTTTAACTCCACATCGTCAGATAGGAGTGCTTTTCCTTCTCAGATTGGACCATGCCTTCTGCCTCAGTCCTAAGTATAAGGAACTGGACAAGATGCCCTGAACTTGTCCTGTATGTTCCTGGTGGTGATATGCAGGGATGAAATTCTATCAGCTGCTGCTGAATGACAATATAATCTGTATTTTTATCCTGTACTTGTGGCTCCTCAGAAACCCTTGTTGGTCCCTGCACTCGAGAGCCTGAGGTGAGCCATGGCAAAAAGCCCAGGTGGATGCAACAGATGGAAGAGCACAAAGAGCATGAGGCAGCGTCCACCAGCGTGACATGCACGTATCAGCAGATCTGGCATATGGCTTGCTGCCTGTGGGCTGCCTTCTACACCCGTGATATGCTCTGGGCATTTTGGCGGTGCCCATCACATGCAGGGTCATGTCATAGGTCTCTCCTGATGCATATTCTCCATTTCAGTACTTGTCTTGAAGAAATAATGCCTGAGGCAAGCTGCTGGCCCTTAAATGGAAGTGCACCAGGACGTGTGTTCACAGAATCACAGAATCACAGAATGTTAGAGATTGGAAGGGACCTCGAAAGATCATCTAGTCCAATCCCCCTGCCGGAGCAGGACACCTAGATCAGATCACACAGGAATGCATCCAGGCGGGCTTTGAATGTCTCCAGAGAAGGAGACTCCACAACCTCTCTGGGCAGCCTGTTCATGCAATAGCTGCTCTGTTGTGTCTTTGGTGCATCCAAGTCACCCCACTGCAGTCCCGTCCCTTTAGCCACAAACATAATGGATGCCTTCCTGCAGCTTTCTTTAGTGCAAACATTTGTTTATATGGCTGAGGGCAAGAAAAGTACAGGAACAAGGTCATTGCCTTTTCCATCCATTGCATAAGTTACAGCTCAAAGCTGCTGTGGGGCTTTCTGGGGGAGGAACATTGCATGTTCAGTTCCCCAAAGGTTCCCGGGGGATGCTGCTGCTGTGAAGCTCGTCACTGGGGCACCCTATGCTCCCACTTCACTTGCACTTATTTTTGCCAAGCAAAACAGCATCAGCAGAGACTTGGACCATGAAGGCTGGTTCCTGCTGCTCTTCCTGACTCCATTTAGCGTAAACCACAGCCCATTTTGTACAGGCTGTACATCAGGCTGTGGGGTAATGAAGCTGATTTGAACACATCCTCACCTACCCCAGCCTCTCTCCCCACAACATTCATTCTGTTGTGCCAGCACGAGCATTTGCACGCTTAATGAACTGGATCTGGTGGCTGATCCCTCTCCACTACTCAAACAAGCAGTGCCACCAAAAACATGTATGTCAGCCTGTGGGCACTGGCATAGCCCTGATTTTGGGAGCAATTTCTGACCTCGAACACAAGACTCAATTTCCTTGATAAAATATGAGCAGCATGAGATGGTGAAGTTTTATTTTATGGTCTGAACATTGTAGCTGACTACAGTTAAATAGAGCCTCAAAAGAATCTGAGATGCTACAAATCCTAAAGTTGGCAGCAATGGGGATATATGTACAGCAATTTTTTTCTCTTTAGAGATCATTTTTTCTTTCCTTTCCATTAGATTCCTGATTAAATAATTCCTATGCACAACTTATTTTTCAGGAACCGATGAGAAGAAAATTATTGAAGTCTTGGCAAGTCGAACATCAGAGCAGAGACAACAAATAAAACAGAAGTACAAGGCTCTGTATAACAAGGTATTTTGAAATAAGTGGCCTCTCTGTTTCAAACCACATACCTGCTAGAAATACAGCCTACAGGACTCTGCTTTTGAAAATATCAAGGGGACAGTGGGTTTAAGGAGGACACTAATTAGTTTCTGATTCAGCAATGTATTTTATCTCCTAAAATATTGATTATATTTCTAATCTTAGGCCTCAGAGTCTTCTTGAAATCAGCCTTAATCAGATCACAGCATTTTAATCAATGTTGGGAGAGCCAGAAAATAATTCATAACTGAAATAAAAAATATTTCAGCTTGTGCTCATCTTCAGCACATTCAGAAAAAGGAATTAATGTAAAAGGGAAATTTTAAGTCAGATTCCCTCTCAGACCAGATGCAACTTCAGAGGAACTATTTGATCTTACATCATTATGTTTTTGTTGAGTTTAATAGATGTAGTATTGATTTCTTTTAGTGATGAAGTAGAATACATGTTGTAAAACCGAGAAGTCTCATTGGGCACTTGATTTCTGGAGGAGGAACCATAGACTGCCTTAATGATTTTGCATGTAAGAAAAATAAAGCTTCCAATAAGAAAAATAAATCTTCCAATATATTATTTAGGTAAATAGCTGAATCCTGCAGAGATTATTATTAAATCAGTATTTTCTTAAGGTCTGCTTGCTCATTAGTCATTAATCCATGTTAATAAGACAGGCAGCACTGAACCTGAAAGCCTTCTATATATAAAACTTCCAGCAAGCATGATAAAGATTTTGGCTACATAAATACTGTAGATTTAGTTCTATAATGAGGATTAATAAAAATAGACATTAGAAATGAACAAATGCCATGAGACATCCTGGTTACATCAACATATTGCAACTCTTCTTGCTCACCTGGGCAGCCTGCATCTCTCGGGAAGGAGCCGCAGGTTGTTCCGTTTCACTCTCCTGCTGCTCGAGGAATGAGGTTCATGGTGTGCGCATTGAACCTTCTCCACCACAATGTCATCCTCTGACTTCACTAGACTGAGTGTTCACTTGTGATTGTGTAAGAGTACTTTTAAGAACAACAGATTTAGAGCTGGGCTTCTCGTTCAGTGTTCTGAACTTGTCAAGTACTTCCCGTCCTACAGGAAATGTTAACTGCAGGTAGGGCTTCAAATAACTCATCAGTGGGCATCCTTCTCAGCACACATATGCTAGCTAGTTCTTCTCTGGGCTCTTACTAAGTTTTGAAGGAAGTAGAGCATATCGCTGGAGGTTGACTTTTTTATTTTTGGTGGAGAAAGTGCTGATTGCTTGGCACCAGAGCACTTTGTAGAAATTTGTTGCTTTTGCCAATAAGTAAATTTTAACCAAAATGCAAAGTTTAGTAAGATTCCTTCTGTTGCAGCTCTTTTGAAGCAGAAAGTTTCTGCATTGCGTTTCAGAGCAAACTCCCCTGTTAACCTTTTAAAAACACTAGACTGCATTTATTTAAATAAGAGTCAAAACTGGAGTGACATTGGCTGGTATTTGAAGATGGGAAAATCATTTAATTCCATATGAAACAAAAAATTTTAGGGAATTTATTTTACCAAAAAAAGTCCCTTTTTGGTACAGAAGAAGCTTTGAAATCCTGACACTCCCCCAAGCAAATACCACCCACCCCCCTTCTAATCTGGCTGAGCTTTTGCACTAACTCTTCTGACTGTCCCCACAGGATTTGGAAGAGGAGCTGAAGGGAGACCTGAGTGGGAATTTTGAAAAGGCTGTGCTGGCTCTGCTGGACCTGCCCTGCGAGTATGAGGCCCGAGAGCTTCAGAAGGCGATGAAGGGTGCTGGGACGGATGAGTCACTGCTGATTGAGATTCTCTGCACACGAAACAATAAGGTTGGGACACCCCAGTAGTTTTTATGTGTGACCTTCCTTAGGTAGCAGGGCAAAGAGCTCACTGAGATCATCCCTCCAGGAGAAAGAGGAGGAATCAGATCAGCTTCCATGACTGAAATGCCTGTTGTCAGTGGTTTCAGCCATAAGGTTGCCATACTGGGGCTGAAACTCTTGCTGTTAAGAACAGTATGATTCAAATTCCTTCCTTGGTCCTACTCATATCTCCCATGGGTGGAACAGAAGCAACACTGATGATAGGGAAAGCCTCATGTGCCGGTTTAAAGGCAGCTTTGGCACTGCTCTGACTGTTCAGAGGCGGCTCCTACCAGGTACAGGAACACAATCCGCTCAAAAAAGGCTTTTGGCTTCCACCTAAATGCAAGTGAAACCAGATGGATGCCTGCATGAGTCAGGCTTCCATGGAGATGCTGTCCTGAGCCGGGCTGGGTTTGCACCGTCTTTGTGCCCTGAGTGGGGAGTGGGAATTCAGCTTCTTCTGCCTCCATGCCTGCTACACCTCAAGCAACGTGGGCATGGTATTGACTTGCTGAGGTTTTGTTTGCTTATTTTTTTATTACATTTATTTATTTTTTCTTTATAAGTAATCTTATTTATTTCTTTATTTGCTTATTTATTTGCTTTATTTGCCTAGGAAATTGTAAACATAAAGGAGGCATACAAACGACGTAAGTAGCATTGTCTTTCAAACACTTTCATTTAAAGCATTTATCACTGGGTGAACCCTCACAGATTTTTTTTCTCCCCAGTCTTTGATAGGGATCTAGAGTCTGATGTTAAAAGTGACACAAGTGGCTCCCTACGGAAGATATTAATCACTGTGCTAGAGGTAAGGCTGGGGGCTTTTATGCATCTACCTCATAGAGATATTTCCTTTTCTCCGCCCTGGGCAATCATAATAAATATTAGGTAGTATTTATAATAATATATGTAATACAATAATGAGGTAATTATAATAAGCAAAAGGCATTCTTCAGGATAAAAGCTTTATGTATTTATAGCTTTTTAATATAACTAAAGGGGTTATATAAAATCATAAGTAATTTATAAATTCCAATAATTTAAAGACAACAGCATTGTTTTATTAGTATTTATACCATGGTAATGGCTAGAATACCCACTCAGGGTCATGACTACGTTATGCTGAATTTGGCCTAAACAAGCAAATTCTGATTTCCATCTCTGCTGAGGAATTTACAATTCAGATATATAACAGAAAAAGAAAGAAAGAGATGGCTGTTAATTTTCCATTCACAAAAAAAATAAAAAAGAAGATATTTTCCAGTAGGATACACTTTATTTTAAATCAGCTACATAGAATCAATCATTGAATATCTCAAGTTGGAAGGGACCCACAAGGATCATCCAGTCCAACTCCCTGGTCCTTGCAGAACTACCTGAAAGGAAATCAAATCATTAAGAGCATCGTTCAGACACTCCTTGAACTCTGACAGGCTTGAAAAAAATTAAAGTGTCCATAAAGACACAGTACAACTAAAAAGAGTGGGATCATGCCTAGCATTGCAATGTCATGGCCAGTCTGAGCAGACAGCCCTTAGAAATGAAAAGATTAAATAAATAGAAGAAGCTTTAAAGACCTAACAGTCCCATTGCTAAATACAGTACAATTGGACTCCCGTTTTGGAAAACATGGATACAGCTCTCCTCAACCTCTTGGGGTACATTTTCAAGAGTGACAAATACATATTAGTAGATTATTTTCAAATAATAGTCCTTTATAATTTCTACCAGGGATTACAGTGTTAGTGAATGCTCAGAGTACTTAAGTTAGTCAGGAAAATACTTGGCGGTTATCAGGGCACATCCAGCACCACGAAAGCCATCAGCACTTCACTGCAGGTGCTGGGAACCTTTTTGCAGCAGCTGGATAACAAACACACCAGCTGCTTTCCTCAGAAACGTTGCAGCTGGAGCTCAGGGTGCTGTACATACCCAGCAGCTCAGCCTCCGGGGTGACACCAAAGGCCATGTTGGGGCCGTCCTGCCCCAGCTCTGCACATCTCAGCCCTATTCCCACCCCAACACATGCCCACACACACTACCACTTCCCACCAGTGGAAAAAATACCCACAAAAAATGGCAAAAAGCAGAACCTAAGAACAAGCCAGGTGGGAAGGGACCTCTGGAGCTCCTCTGGTCTGCCCTCCTCAAAGCAAGGCAATCTCCAAACTCACGTCGAGTTTTCCTCTGATTTTGTTTCCTGGGCATGTGCTGGCTGGGAGAGGGAGTGGGAACACCCGGGCGACAGCGAGGG